GGGAAATGGGAAAGCGAGGTCCTCTGGGAAGCGAGACAGGAGCATTGCTATTTGGCCAGCAGCGACCAGCAAGATGTTTGGCTCGTCGAGGTGCTGTCTTCGTAGTGGGTAGAAAATCAATGTGACCTGTTCATTTGTGATCATTTCAGGCTTCCTGACCTTCCCCTGAGTTGGGGATGTCTGTCCTGGTATCCTGGGCAAATTCTGAGTTGGAGGAGTGCATTTTACTGCTTCAGTTTCTCTAGCAGTTGCAAGAACATCCCAGGCTACTGTATGCCACATGTTGTATTCTTCACTTCCTGCCCACGCCTATGCCACCCAGTGCCGTTGAGTGGTATTATTTTTATGTCATGTGTTAAATACTTTGAGATTGGTGGGGGGTGAGACATAGCTCATTCGCATCCTCCTCTGGATAGAAGGCTGAGCCACGATTCAGGACGAGCACGTGTTCTTGTAGTGAAACCCTGCAGCTGGGCTGCAGCTGCAGAGAGCAGGAGAGTTCACCCGACCAGCTGGCAGCACGCTCAAAACCTGACAGCCTCTCTCTGGTCTTTTCCCAGGTGGCACGAGAGAAGGAGAGCGATGCTAAGAAGAGCAAAAGCATGCTCAGCCAGCTCAGATCTGAATCGGATGCAATGCAGGACGTCTCCTTAATCAAATTCGTCAAACGTAAGTTCCCCGAAGTGATCCCTCTGCTTGCCCGAGCAGGTGCCGACTGCCTGGCACCAGCCTAAAGAATAACCATCTCCTCTGTCCACAGCTGAATGTCTAGCCCAGTGATTCCCAACCCGGGTGCCTTGAGATCTGTTCAAGGGAGCTGCAGGGTGCCACACCGTGTTAACACTTGGGTGGGCAAACACGATTCACGAGATAAACCTGGAGGTTGCAAACAGGGATCGGTAGTGGCACGCGCATTTTGAGCTGCTGCGGTTTTTCTGAGTTCTTTGCAGCAGCAGAATTGCTCTGTTATTTTTCTGAAGTCCATAATGATCAGAAACGAAGAGCTGGCTTTTTCCCAGGGGTGCCTCAAGACTAAGGAGGGGCGCCGCCAGCCTAGAAAGGCCAGGAACTATTGTTGTAGACACACTAAAAAACCGCAGCTTTCGGGTGTGCTTGCGACTGCTGATGTTTGATTTATAGATTTCCTGTTGATCTCAAAATGCAAAGTATTTATTGCTGTGGACAACAGTCAGTTCCTCCCCATGTTCATCTAAATGTCCTGTTTCTGTTTTTCTCTCGGCTCTTTCACTCCCTCTTGGAGCAGTGATTTCCGTCCCCAGTGCCAGACTGGAATATGGGAAATAAAAACCCAGTCCTTGCTTGACAGTATTCCTAAAGGGGCTTGTATCTGAAAGACCGTAGCTGCATTTAAGCTGGGACCACTGCCCCCTCCAGGTGTGTTTGGGAGCAGGATTCTTGTAGCTAGTCGCTCTGCTGGACACCTGCCCTATAAGATATCCCCTTGGCTTTGTGTAGGAGGCGGGGAGTCCCAAGAAGAGCAGAGGTCGCCTTGTTCTGATGCAGACCAGCTGTGATTTCACCCTCGGTGGCTTTTGCCAAGGGGAGTTTTGAAAGCGCTGCTCTCAACTCTGACTTCAGAAAAGCGAGCCTGCGAAGCTGCCCTCCTGCCTGCTTCCTCTGCCTTGCCGCAACCTTTTCTCCCTAAATTTTCATTTTTATTAGGGTCAATGCAGAGGTGATATGGCCACGAGGGTGCAGGCTGCGTTTCATGCTGCTAGTTTCAGGGCTCGACGGGCAGCCCTGTTTTAAATGAAAGATCCAGACCTAGAGCTTTGGATCCCTTGCTGACCTTCTTGCACCGGCAAGCTGTAACCAGCACGCTATATTCCCCGTGCGAGCCATTGCCAGCCAGAAAATTTGCATGACCCGGGTGGGAGATTCATACCGTTCTGCTTCTGTCTGTCTGCAAAGAGATCTCCCATCAAAATGGATAAAAATGAATTTGCTCCCTTTCATAAGGATGAAGAGGGACCTACTAAGCAGTTTTTGTAGCTGGTTACAGCATAAAGAGCAAATTTTGTGGCTATTTCCTGGGTGTGCTCTGCTGGCCCCGCCCCTCGGTGCTGATTGGTGGAGAGGCACTGGCTGCCATCTTGTCTTCTGCTCTTGTCTGTTCCCCATTGGCAGGCCAGCATTTTATTTTTATTACCTTTTTTTTTTTTTTAATTGGTTTCACAGACAATCCCGGATGTCGTGGTTTCCGCAAAATCTGCGGAATCGTGAATTGAGTAGACGAAGGCAAATGCACCTTTTTTTTGGCTTGGGGCTATGAAAGCAGCAGAGTTAGATCAGGAGACGACTGCTTGGGGTTATTCTGCTGCCACAGTGGCTGGTGCCACTGATCAAGAATCGGGCCTGTTGTGCTCGGGTCTTTAGCTGCTCGTAGAAAGGCGCTCATCCTGTCTCAAAGAAGAGACCGTGTAAAGGCCCTGGCTTGTAAACACATATGGCCTGATTCTGTTTCATATATAAGGTGCTTAAGTGTGATTCCACCCTGCTCACATCACTGAAAAAGCATTAACATGCCTAGTTTTGTAACAGTCCATCATCGTAGTCCTATGACTAGGTCACGAAATGCAGCAATCAGAAGGACATAGGTATAGACGGCTGAATTCGATATCTTCCATGTTGCAGGGCTACAACCTAAACCCCTGCAATCAGAAGGACGCATCCACTTTTTTGTATTCGCTGGTTTTCAGGGTCTTGAACAGCAAGAAGTAGCATCACATTTAGGTACCTAATAAGTGGAGTCGTTTCTGGCCTTTCACCAATGGATCTACTCAGTATTAAATATTATCACTGGTACCCAAAGTCCCAGTCAGGGTTGCAGCTCCATTCTGCAAGGCACAAGACAAATCCAAGGAGGGACAAAGCCCCCATCCCAAAGAGCTGACAGCCTAAAAGCATCTATTTTATTTGAATTGTGATGGTGCCTCCGATCCTAGATCGGGGCACAGCATGCTAAGGTGAAAGAAAGATGGCTTGCTGTCCAAGAGCAGAGATAACAAGTGGGTACAACCTACAGAGAAGGGAAGAGCAAAGTAATAGTGAGAGGATGTGAAAGCATCATTTGTGATATTAGGTCCTGATTTAAGACAAGACATTGCAGATAAGTATAATAAACAACAGGAAGGAGGATGAAGGTCATAAATACCGTGACCCCAGGGTTGCAAAATCCAGCCATGTTTCCGTCTAGATTGATGATGGTGATCACTCACGAACGAGCAAGATTGTCTTCCAAGGATCTTAATAGTGAGTCTGCCAGTGGCTCCATAGCCCAGTTCTAGATCCACATGTCTACTTGCAGTGAGGACAGGTGTTTCCAGGAGAGGTGGCCACTGTGTTGCAGTGTTGGATGTCCTCACGTTCTTTTTCGCCCGTTCCTCTTTTCCTCTTCTGCCTGTCGACAAGCTGTTTCAAAGTGTTGGGGTCCCTCCCAAAGAGCCTTCCTCCTCTTTGGTTGGTCCCAAGCGAGGGTCTCCCAAGGGTTGATGTCAGTGTTACCCCATCTAGATGACAGGCCAGGTCAGCAGTAGCTTATTTCCAGTTTTGGTGTAGTAAAATAACACTCCCTAAATGTGCGTCTGCCTCACAATAGTGGTACTTCACTTTTTTTAATGGTACTTTGTAGTGCCAGTTTTCATTAACCCTCATTTAATAAACAGCACAAATATTTGTGCCTCCCTTCTGGTATGAGCTGAGGATATCAGATGTTACATGGAAATGTAGGAAGACCTGGGATTATCTAGTCCGGGGAAGCAAAGACTGGGGAGGAATTAGATCGCAGTCCTTAAATATCTGAAGGGTAGTTATAAAGGGGATGCTAACAGACATGTCTCAGTGGTCGCAGAGGACAGGAAGAGGAAAAAAGGTGTTAAGATATAACAAGGGATATTTAGGTTGGATACTAGGAAGTTTAAACAGAGATGATCCTACCTTGATTAGGGGGTTGGAGTCCATGACCGGTGTCAGGGGTGCTCCTGCTGCAGGCCATGTGCTGGCTTGCGTTCCCTCGGACCTTGACGTCATAGAAAGCGTGACCACAGGCTCAGCCAGGTGGCAAAAGCACCACTCACTAATGCACTTGTGTTAACGACAAGGCGTGAATACTGGACACTTGTGACAAGGCACTAGCCTAAATCACATCCCCACAACTCGTGCAACGTTACAACTTTTTCCTGTTCTCTTTTTTATGTGGATCAAAACGAATGCTTGTTCCATGTGCATCAGACACACCATGCCTTGCGTCTGACAAACACCCTTTTCCCCCGTGCATTTCTCATCCTGTGCATTTTAGACCATAAAGTACCAGATTCTTTATGATCAGCTTTGTCCTGGGGCTGTGCAACCTGTACCCATCCCCACAGCAAACATGCACACATGCTGCTCTAAGGTCATTCAGCCATCAGTGCTAGTTTGAAGTTGCCAGTGACCTCCTGAGGCCCCTTCCAGCTCTATTTCCCCACAGTCTTCCAAGTACAGACCTTGATTGTCAGGTCATGTGTTTTCCCAGCTAATAGTCCATTGGCTTAGCCTGGTTAAAGCATGCCAGTTGCAACAGCCCTCAAGGGAGGGATTTGGCCAACATCCAATCTGCTCACCTTTGACTCCACAAATTACATGGGAAGCTGGCTCAAGCTGGGCTTGCTCTTATGCCTCCAGAACCAGAGCAAGAGGCCTTTTCTGCCATGCCCGGCTGTAAAATAGCTAGTGCTATAGTAATAACAGCTGATAAAGACTGCATTAGCTGTGACAAGATAGTGGTACAATGCTGCCATACACTATTGAGTTACTGGGACGCTGTGCTAGAAATACAAATAGTCTAGTCACTGTTATCACTTAACATCTCTCTCTACAAACAGTTATCATCACACCGTTCCCTTGCAAAGCTCCTGTCCCACTTCTAGCCTATCTGGCAGTTCTAGGGCACGATCAGATAAGTGCCTCCTGCCTTTTTGACTGGGCTCAGCAGATAGCAGCGCTTCTTGTCTGGTCTATTCAGGCAGGACTGTATTGTTCCAGTACAGAATAACAAGTGGCAAGTGATGCTGGTATCTTGCTAGGCTTGATGGCCATTGGGACAGGCGGGCCCAGTGCACGTGTCTGGTATGGAGACAGAGAAAACGTTGACGTCTGCTATCGCTTTTGAGTGGTCATCATGTTAAATAGCAGAGCTCCCATTAGCTTCAGTGGAACCAACATTTGGACGGTAGATATTATGATAGAAAGCCAGGAGAATCAGCTTTAGGAACAAGCATACAATGCATTTGCCCCCCCTTTAGCTTCTGCCCACGGCCCCCATAAGCCTAATACCAGCTCTGGAAATCTGGGTGAACTGCAGAGAAGTCAAGGTTATCTGTACTTTACCCAGTGTAGAGGAGATTAGAGTTTTGCCCACAGTTTATATTATTTTCCTTGTTTATTTTGTTTATTCTTTCTGGAGCTAAACTTTATTGCCTCATTAGTTTTAATATTCTTTTGTACACAGCAGCTTATATAAAAGCAATATATGGAGGCCTTCCAGTCTGAATAATCATTAAACTTTTATATTTCCTATTGCTAAAACAAGGCAGAGCGAAGTTTACTTGATAGAGAAATGAGGGGAAAGAATCCGATTTACACTCCACATTGCTGGTCTATCATTTTAA